ACACCGTGGCACCAACGTCCAAACCTCACTTGCTCTCTGAACACCGCAGGCATGGGCACAGGAGCCCAGCCTGCTGCCTCGTCCATTTCTTGAGGCACAGCCGTCTACGGACACCCCTCCCCACAGGGACTGCCGCAGCGCCTTTGCGTGACAAACCGCCCATGGAGGTCTTACCCGCAACACCCATCCAGGAGGGAGGTCACGGACAAGCGCTGCGGCGCTCTGCCACCTCCCAGAGACAGCGCTGAGCAACAGCAGGAGGCTGCCCCCGCCAGCCCAGGCCACCCGCCACTGCGCTCACTGACCATGTGGCCAAAGGTGAGACCGCAGGACCGAGTCCCTGACCGCCAGGGTGGCAATCGTTCATACAGGGGTGTCCTCACCCCGCCCCTTCTCAGACAGGTCTTCTCACCTGGGAACTCACACAAACTGCCATGCGTTTCCCACTAAGAATCGCAATTGACAAGCATCCTCGCTATTTTGGTCACCGTACCTTAGGACAAGCCTCAACTGACATCTGCCCCCCCCCTCCCCCACAACCGCCGGTCAGACGGGCCTACTGTCTTCTGGGAGAGAGACCTCGGCTTACTCCAAGAACGGATCCAGAGCCCAGGGGGCAGGACGGCACCGGCCTGACATCAGACATTTCTGAGGCTGCTTTGCTGAAATACTAGCTTGTATTTTGATTTCTTAAATTGCACAGCAGACAACGCCTCCGAAACTTCTTTTCAGGCTAAAATGACCGGGTCCCTGGTGCACAGCACTGAACAGAGGCCTGGGCCCCCTGACCGCCCCGCGTCACGGCAGGAAGCCGGCTCTGTCCCTGAGCTTCCCTCCCTGTGGCTCTGAGCGTCGTCCTCCCCTAAATGACTGTCCCAGATACGGGGCTGCTTTTCACTGAAACACTGGAGACCAAAACCGTCACTGAGAATCTCAAAACTGGCTGCTGTCGTTCGGAAGGGGGGCCTGCAATTGTGGGGGCATCGGTCAGGTCGGAAGGAAACGATAAAGGTTTTAATTTTGCTGGCAAAGGTGTAATTTACTAAAGTGCGATAGGTCATAGGTAGCTTAGGGGGACATTTTTCTTCGGTTAATGGGTTTTACCTTATTGTACCTATTTTTACAGGTTTCTACCTATTTCAACTGTTATAAATTAAATCAATTTTTATCTTTTATGGCTCATAGTTTTTATGTCTTATGAAACTTTTGCCTAGATCAGTCATAAAAAAAAATATTTTCTTCTAGAGTTCTTTAGTTTTAGGCCTGACATTTAAATCTGTGATCCATTTTAGTCAGAAAAAAAGGCCCGCATGACTCCAAGCTTCTCACAACCAGAGCAACCATGCCGTGTGGATGGTGCACCTGCTAGAGGCTCCCCCGAACCCCATGCTGTGCGGCTGGTGCACCTGCTGGAGGCTCCCCCTGAACCCCATGCTGTGTGGCTGGTGCACCTGTTGGAGGCTCCCCCTGAACCCCATACTGTGTGGCTGGTGCACCTGCTAGAGGCTCCCCCTGAACCCCATATTGTGTGGCTGGTGCACCTGCTAGAGGCTCCCCCTGAACCCCATACTGTGTGGCTGGTGCACCTGCTAGAGGCTCCCCCTGAACCCCATACTGTGTGGCTGGTGCACCTGTTGGAGGCTCCACCTGAACCCCATACTGTGCGGCTGGTGCACCTGCTGGAGGCTCCCCCTGAACCCCATACTGTGTGGCTGGTGCACCTGTTGGAGGCTCCCTCTGAACCCCATACTGTGCGGCTGGTGCACCTGTTGGAGGCTCCCCCTGAACCCCATACTGTGCGGCTGGTGCACCTGCTGGAGGCTCCCCCTGAACCCCATACTGTGTGGCTGGTGCACCTGTTGGAGGCTCCACCTGAACCCCATGCTGTGTGGCTGGTGCACCTGCTGGAGGCTCCCCCTGAACCCCATGCTGTGTGGCTGGTGCACCTGCTGGAGGCTTCCCCTGAACCCCATGCTGTGTGGCTGAGGCACTTACTGAGGGTTCCCCTTGAACCCATAGTTGTGCGGTTGGGCCCTGCTAGAAGCCTCCCACTTACACCACATGCTGTGGGTGTGGTACACGCTACGGGAGGCTCCCCTTGAACCCACATGTTGTGCGGTGGGGTGCATCTCATGGAGATCC